TGCGATAGAGAGACTGCCCCTGCAAGTCCGGCATAATGTATTTCTAAGAAGCCCGTTGATGGCCTCCAAGTCAGGCGATTATGTACTCCGACTCCGCCGCATGGTTGGCATTCGCGTCGCCCCCACAGCCGATCGACGGTAGCGACAACAAACTGCCAACTGTCTCGTCCGCATGCTGCTGCACATTGTTGGGGTCATCGAAACCGTTAGCATCCGTATCTAGTCCATTTCGGTGCTGCACGCTGACTTTGACATTGACAGCCAGTGCTGCTGTCGCATCACCCGCTGCGTCGGCTGTAGATGTAAGAGGCGCTTTCTTATTCCAAGGCCCTGTTTAGCGTTTCTTCTTGCTGAACTGGTGCACAGTAGCGTATTTACGCCCCATCAAGTACTTATACAGAGACAATACTCTGACAGAACAATAATCGCCACTACGTCGTCACCACAACCACAGCGCGCGCACCATGGAGCGCACACACAAGTTATCAAATGGCGGTTCAGCGAGATCTGTGGCGAGAGCGAATCAGAAGCGTCGTAATTGTCACGTGACAATAATGACCAAATCATGAGTCATGTTTTCAGCGTTTCTGGTGACATTTTTCATCTTTTTGGCTTTTGTCTTTGCTTGTCGGTTGTTGTAAAGAAGTTTAGTAGCACACTCAAACTCTTGTCAACTTTTATTCTGCACCAAAAACGGTTTTACTCTGCCTTTGGGATTAGAGGCGTCAGAAACTTTTCGGACCTCACGTAATTTCGCATTACCTCCCAGATCGACCCACCATTGACTAAGCGATTGTTAACTAATGTTTTATGTGACGTCACGTTCTGCTTGTTTGTAGGCTAATTTGTGCGTCACTTTGTAGCTGGAGGTAATGACTTGGTATCAGTCAAACGTTTTTATTTTTTATGGGAGCTGATGTTCTGAAATTGGTTTAGTTGTTGAGAAAGTCGTCCTGGCAAGCTTTTCGTTGTCTGAAGGCCGAATGTTTGCAAGCAGTGTTCTCCAGTTTTTTCAATTGTAGTGAAACAGCAGGTAGCGGGCTTTTTCCGTGAACAACAACTACCTTACATTAATGCTCATTTGACTTCAAGTTTGCATCAAATCTTTTTTTTTAACTGCAAAAATTTGCTTTTGAGAAGGAAAATAGCTCTAATATAGAGCAGCATTAATTTTCTGCAAGTTTCTCTTCTAACAGTATGCACATTTCTACTAATCACTCCGTGCCAGTCTGCCAGGCGTACCACATTTGTCAAGAATGTCGTTACAGTGCCATTTATTTTAAAATAATGATTGCGAGCTTGTAGCACGCAATTATTCTAGCCCAACGTCATTAGCAGATTGCAGAGACTCCACTGGTCGAAGAGTGTGACCGAGCACATGAGCACAATTATTTATAAAGTCGCAGAGGCAATCAACAGCCATGTTTCTGTCATCAAGGTGAGCCTCTCCGGTGTTTTTGAGTTGAGTCTGGCTAGATACACATTGAGTAGCGTAATACGGGAAGAAAGTGGGCCTAAGGCCTCTGGAACAGGCCAAAAAGCAGCAGCAATGCTGCTTTTAAGTCAAAAGAGAGTTTCGAGCAGCTTTGGAGAACCAAAAGATGAATTCTGGAGCAATGCAAATTAGTTCTGCAACAGATTATTGGGTACAGTCATTAATGTTTAATTGAAGTCTTTTATTTTTGATAAACACAAACAATTCCAGTGCTTTTTACTAAATACTGCTGAACCAACCAGACTAAATGTGGAACGCTGGAGCCATCAGAGGAAATTGTGGTCACCCAGCATCTTTCATCAGTTTATGTGGCTCCTCTACTCAGACTAGTATACTGCTGTGGTCTGTTGACCGTGTCAGTTCACCCTTAATTTTAATAGTATTAATGAGCCAGATCTTAATAAACAATATTGAATAGTGCTGTAGGTACAGGGTGCTTTTTTCCAGAATATACAGATTTTTAAAATCAAAATTCTATGACAGTCAAAGCTTTAGTAATTTTTGCACATGAAAATACCTTGCTACCACTAATATGATGTTGATGTGACTAATTAATTAGCTTTTCGATTATTGACTTACGGTTGCCTGTTGTTTGGGAAAGTTGTAGAGACACCGATTTGTGGCATCCCCATTATTTCAGAAATGAGGAGAGTTGCATGTAATTAGAGGTATTCACCACGAAATTTTAAGAGTAAAATATGATCGGCCTTGGTGCGCAGAAAATGCAGCTTCTCCATTACGTTAGAACAATACTTTTTTTTTAATATGCTCAAATTGGCAAAACACAACTGTTAAGAAGTACAAATGAGAACAAAGAAAACTGAAATGTCCCCCCACCCCTCCTTATTTGTTAGCAAATACATGGACATTTTTGGTGGGCTTTCACCATAGCTTTTATGCTCGGTATGAAGTCTCTATCGATAACATCGCTCCGCATGTTGCATATGATTCTTCACACAAGTAACAGAACACAATCACTGGGGCAAACACAGTTGAAGCAAAGATGACACGAAGATAACCTAAGCGAAGAGAGGGGGGTTGCTCGAGCAGCGACTGCGAACTTTGACCATAAGGGCGCGGTTGCTGGCGCGCCCTTAGCAGACATCAGCAGACATCGGATATTAACAGACATCAGCAAACAGCCCGCTTATTTCACGTAGATATGACAGACACCACGAAAACCGCTTCGCTTTATGCAGTGGTCGTATTCTTGTACACTAGCGTCTTGAAGAGTTAGGCAAGATCAGATACGAAAGAGTTAGCTACTAGCCCTTTGTACAACATTAGAGATTGTTGCTAGCAGATTCATTGCTTGATCGTTTAACGCCATCACTAACGACCCACAGAGTGCGTCAGGCGTGAATGATAACAGGAGCTCATTCCTGCACGCCAGAGAACATCAACTTTGCATATGACCGCGGCTCATAAATGTACCTAGGACTACCACCTGGGAGCAGTTTTGGAGCAGGATAGTGCAGCAGAAGTGGGTTGGCGAAGCGTAACGCAAGTCGCACAGCGCTGTCACCCCTGGTAACAACACTCTCTTTTACAGAGTCCACCAGCACAAAACATGGAATAAGCACGTGGAAATAGTAATTCGGAACTCTATCACAAGATGTGGCCACCATTAATGTTACATTTTCCAGCATGCGATAAGGATACTGCATGCTGTCAAATAAAGTTCGGTCTTGTGAACTACGACTGGCACTCGCAAAGCAGCTCACAGGTAAAGCACACCAAATCACCTTTATCAACATCATGACATTTCTTGTCAACTGAGAAAGAATAAACAAATCACATTTTTTAAAGAGCTTTTATTTACAGAAAATTTTCCATATTTTGAGAGCAGTTAAGCTTGCTCACCATGTTACACGTTACTTCACTTTTCAAACAAGTTCACGCTGCAAAGACGAGTCCAAACCACTGGTATTTATAGACACATACATACTCGCATTCTCACTTGGTTCAAGTACAGGGTCATGCAAAATGGCAGGCACGTGTAAGAAGAACAACGGTCGCACTAAAATGCACGCAAATGGTCTCGATAATCAATGCATGGCTTCTTCCACAGAGTTGCAGACTGAAATTATAAGTGAATCTGGCTGGAGTGCCCATACACAGTGCTGTATAATTCAACACTTCACCAAACATGGCAATGACAAGCAACGTGTTCATCAAGTGAACATCATTCTTGCATATCGAACATTTTAGTTTCGTTTCTCGTCATTCAATTTGAGCTGCCAAGCAATGATCAGTCTGCACATATTTCTTCCTCGGCATTCTTCTTAGAGCCTTTCAAGTAAAGGCAGCTTTTCAAAGCACATAAAGTAGTCGCCAATGGCAAGCCTCACTACAACAGCCTTCAGCGACAAGCACACCGAGTAGGGCCCAAACTTTATTTTGACAGTTGAAATTGTTAAGGGGGGAGGTGGCATTGAAAAAAAGCTTTTTTGTTTGTTGAACTAGAGCAATGAAATTTGGCATACATTCTCATAAGTGTCTTGAATAGGGAAATATGCAGTTTCATCATACCTTGAGTAGTTCTCAAGTTACATCACGCTACGTGGTTCGACTTATATGGTCTGCTTGTGGAAAGCCCATCGCTGTAACAAAACACGCCAGGAAGCTGCAAATGATGTTGATCTTTACTCAAAAGAAGACTATTGGGTGTGACAATCTCAGAATTCTTTTATCACTTCTCTTTTTTTGATAGAGATAATCATGGCTGCCTACACACATTGTCAGAAACAGTGTCATGTACAAGTCATCTTCTAGTAAAAAAAACTGAGCCATGAACAAGAATTCTAAGATTGCCATACCTTCAAGAAATGTTTTGGGATTCAGAAAAAAAAATTGCATCAAAATCTGTCCAGTCATTTCCGTGCTACACTTCCCACGAGCAATGCATATTGTCCTAACAGACTTGGGAGAAAAAGCCCATCGAAGCTTTTGACAGGCTTTTTTCGATGAACTTTTTTGTTGGATATTGATATTGATAAATATTGGCACAGACACCAAGAATAACCACACAGTGCTTCCATAAAAATTTTGAGGCGATACCACAAATACTTTACGAGAGACGAAGTTATTTCTTCATTGAACCTCATAAAGAGGCTGAGCATAATGTCAAAAAAAAATAAAAAAAACAGTATTGAGAAAACTGCGTTTTGAAGTTTCGACTTTTCTTTATGTCTCTCAGACACCTAAAAATTGTGATCTCAGGTTTGTCTCGTGATATTTGACTTCTCAGGCATCTGGTCTCTGACCAGTGTGCCTTGGTTGCCTTTTTTTTTGTTCCCACAACCTCCTTTTCATGATTTACAAAGAACAAGTATGGATTTCAAACCAAGTTCTTTGTATGAAGGAGTGGTGTGATAGGCATGACAGAAAAGATTGTAATTGAATAAGACCATATACTGAAATGATTACACATATTTCTCGTGCTGAAGTTGTAATTAGCATAATTAAGTACTTGATTACAAATAATCACTGAACATTTTTTTTATTTGGAGAGAGGTTTATTGCATCAGAAAAATGGATCACACCATGACAGGCCTATGCAGTCTTTTCAAATAAAAGTTATGGGCAGAAGACTGGTGGCACAGAAATTTTCAGCAGTATAATTAATGACGCGAAATGGCCATATAAAAATTTGTGTCCCTGATTCACACATGCTCTGTTGCCACTCTAGCCGTGAAACGCACCATCATACAGCCAGTCACGGAAACTCTAATCTACGAGGCTTTCATTGCCTCGGAACATTCATAGACGTTCGTGGCGATATCAAGCACGGCTCCAAGCACTGTCCTAAATCGCATCACAAAAGCTTATTGACAACACTCCATATGACCGTGGAGTGCACGGCCGCGTGGACAGTGCAGCCGGCACGTAATGCACTTGCCGGCGGCGTTCAGTGATGATACGCTGAAATGTGTAGCTACGATGACAAAAAATCGGCGCACTGCGCTTCTCATAGCATTTTCGAGTGACGACGCGTCAAACTGCTATCCGCTGTTCTGAGCGATCCTCGGCAGTGAAGGGGGGGTGACGAGCTTGACTGTGTGGTCCCCTGCCGATGCTTAAAATGCCCGTACGTGCTTCAGAGAAGCTAGCAAGTTATGTGCTTCATTCCTTGCGAAGAATCACGTCGCCAAAAGTGCGCTAGGCGCGTCGTTCCTGCCCGCAGTCTCGCTGTCAGCAGAGTTAGGGCTAAAGCCGACTCCGATAACGTGCCGCGCTCGTAGAACGCGTGCTTGCTCGTAGTAACCTGATCGCGCATTCGCTTACTGCTCCTAACTAAAGCGTAGTTATCTCTTAAGCGATCATCGAGCCGTGAACACGTCACGAAGTAGCAATTTTCGAGAGCCATGTCCTCACGACGCACAAGCAGCAGACGACGATCTCCCAAAGCGAGCATCGGGTCAATGGCGAGGCGAGCTGAGGCAACATGGCAGCCACAGCCAATCAAGGGCCTCGAAACGACCTTAAAAAATTTGCTTTTTGTGCACTTGTTTTTAAAGGGAGGAGCCAGCTCAGGCAGGAAAGTTAAACACGGAGAAATGCTTTTATCGATGAGCCCAAGAAGCTGGCTCCCAGCCCTGCCATCGCGAAGCCATAATTTTTTTTTTTGAAAATCGCTGTTTTCTCGCGATTTCCAGAAAAAGTTTCGCTACCTAGGTGAGTGAAATGAATTTTCCGAAGCACTTCTGCGAGGTTTTCAGTGTAGATATTTTGTAATCAGATAGAAAAAGGATTCCAGAAACTAAAAACTTGCATTTTCAAAAAATGTTTTTTTTTTTTCTTTTTGACAGTTTTCGCGATCTCAAAGTCGCGTCCCTCCCTTAAACATAGAGAAATGCCAATGTGAAACGTTTTGATCACCAAAAAAAAAAAAATTTCAGGCTAGCATGCAACATGATTGAATTGTGAATAACAAAAAGCAGCAATTTGCTTCCGTCAAGAACGCCGTGCCAATTCTGTGTTCCCAACCTACATATCCTTGGTAGCAAATCAACTGCGATTCCAGACTTTCCTCTCGCAATTTCAGTGAGAAACTTCGTGCCTTCTGCTTAGAAACTATGGAAACGTTAGCAACAGTTGAGTCATTAATAAAGTTTTAAAAACAAATATAGATAAATAAGCCTTACACGGCTTATGGAAAAAGAAAAACAGCCGCAGCACAAGATTGCTCATTAAGAACATGCAGAACTTTTTGTCAGACAAAAGTGTGCAGTCTTCGTTAGCTGCCAATTATATCGAATGCATAATATTATAAACGAGTTTGCTATTAAAAGAAATCTTTAGAAATGTAACGACACATGTAAATGCTGATAAAAAAAGAAAACAGCACTTCAATGTGGCTTTCTTCAGTTTTCATAGGCTTAACAAAAGAGCGAAAATGTCGCGATTGACGACGCAAGTGAACAATAAAGAGCGCAGTTGAAATCACACTTGCCCTACGTGTACATTCAGCACACTGTGCATGACAACAGAGAGAGCGTGTTGGTTGTCAACACTGTTCACAACCAACAACTGGTTTTCAGTTGGCATGTATTTTGGCTGGCTCAGTTGTTTGCTGCCCGATGATTTAGAAGATAAGCACTACAGCAAGCAGAAGTGATATCGCCTTAATATGAAATGGAAAATAAGTACCACAGGCAAAATGGATGTGCGTGATTTTTTTCAATTTGTTTTGGTAATGACCGCAGGCCGTTATTAGGCAGCAGCTACAACAAGCACAAGTCACAAGGTCTCATGGGCATAAACATTGTGGAAATCAACAATGCTTTAAATAAAACACTAAAGCACGTTAACACTTTCCTGTGCATCTTAGGACACTTGTGACAAGTGTTATTAAACATTACCGTACGCTTGATAGAAATTATCTGAAAGCACACTTACTAAATTTACATTTTGTCTTTTTTATCTCTCTCTTCCTGCTCGTACTTTCAATCCTGAATCCCCTTCCTCACGCAGAGCAGCAAGTCAGTGAATTTTATATGCCAGCTAAATTCTCTGCTTTTCAATAAAGACCTCTCTCTCTCTCTGAAATCACAATGCATGGGTAAGGAGATAATTGAGAATTAACGCTGGAGAGGATATCCAGCCAGTCGCCGAAGAATGTACACTATACATCTGTGAACCAACATTGTTTTACACTGTCCGATATGAGAGTCTGTGGGCTGCTGATGTTCAGTAGCCCTTTTCAAGTGTACAAAAGGGCTCCTCACAAATGCTTTGCCCAGCACGCTGCAAATACGCTATGTGACGCGAGCCCCTCAGGAGGGGGCAAAGTCAAACTTGACGGCCAGCCTCGACCTACGTGCTGGAGGCTTTGAGTTGGAAGAGGCAGCGTCTTGCGATGCGGGTTTCGGGGCGTTGGAAACCGGGCTGGGTTCGGCAATTGAAGACTGAGCAGCGCTTAAAGGTGCAGTTGTGTTCGTTGCCCCTGAACCCTTTGCAGTTTCCTGCTTTGCAGGAGGAGCACTCGCGATGACGTCAAGGGGCTTTTGCACAGACGCTTCCTTAGTCGGCGGTGACTTTGTGGTTGATGAGGCGGCCGCCTTGTTCTTTCTCAGGGAGCTCGAACTGGAAGTGGCCGCAGAGGACTTGGAAGGTAGCCTTCGCATTACCTAGAACAGACAATGGGAGAAATGTAGTAGGATGGGAAACTGGGCTAGTCGGTACGGTTATGATCGGTTGGTCTAATTGTGTTTATGCTGCTTAGAGGGCTAATGCGTGTTATTCAAGCTGTTATTATCTTTAATGGTTTCAAGCCTTGTCCCTATTGAGCTATAACATGGCCAGTGTGTAAAGAAAAGGAGAAAAGAAAGCTAAGAGAGAAGGCATCAAATAACGTGAATGCGCATCCCATTATCACACCCTTGTTACATAAGCAGATTTGCCACACTTAATACTGACTGTAATACTGCCAAATTTAGAAAGGCTAGACTGTTCACACTTCAATGGCATAATAATATCTCATATGACCGTGGCACATTGATTTTACATAGGATCATTTTTATAGAAAGCGTTATTTTAAGGAAAGGATAATTTTCTTGAGCAATAAAAGTGAGATTGAGAGGCAATGCACCATTTGCCATTTTGTCCGTCCGTGAAATGTTGGTTATCAAGACAGAGGTTGCCAAGTTTGGTTAGTGGCCTACCGTGGCTAGTGTTTTAACCACTGCTCGGCCTGTCATGTAACTGCGCCTTAAAGGAACACTAAAGGCAATACAGTTGAACATGGTTATATCGAACCCACATATATTGAATTTTCGGGTATATCGAGCTCGCAAGTTATCCCCTTGAAATTCCTTTGTAAAAGTATAAAAATTGGCACGTTTATATCGAACAGTATTTTTACCCGTCGAGCGCTGCCAAGCTAGAAAGCGACTTCGGCACTTGCCCTCTCCCCCCCCCCCCCCCCCCCCCGAGATCTTCCTCAACAGCGCAGCTCCGCACGCGAGTTGAAAGGTGCGCTTTTGGCACTCGCAGCAGCGCTCAGTGATCTCCGCGTGGCACCATGCCACCGCCAAAACCCGAAACGCCTGAAAAAGGTAAGGGCGAGAGGCTCGGACTGCGCAATCTCTAACTTGTAGAAGGCTTTTTTTTTTCTCGTTTCTCTTTTTTATGCTTTCTCTGCGTACATGTCGGCTTGGAGAGCAGGAACGAAGAAGCCGACGTCCTCCTCCTTTTGTTCATTCTTTTATTTTTTTGTTGCTGTTTTGCGAGGTTTCATCAGCCAACCACAGCTCGCGCCTTTTGATGTTGCCCTCACATCAAGCCATCGCCTCGCGAGCACTTCGTTGCTCTCGAGCTGTCACGTCGCCTACGTACCACTGCATGTGCAGCATTTCTCTTTTGCATGCTTGGTGAGCAAAACCGCTGCAGACTCCTTGAATTGTCGACTGCTCGCATAGCTATGGCCAGCGTCAAGAAGTGCAAGACCCTTGACTTTGGTACAAATTGAAAGCTATTCAGCGTGTTGAGGCGAACAAGAAATGTTCGATTGTCACGGACGACTTCATGATACCACGAAGCACTCTCAGTACCTTGTTGAAAAACAGTCTAAGTATTTTGTTGAAAAACAAGGCAGATATCAAGGCAAAGGCGGTAGAGCAGCAAACGTCAGGAGCCTTTCATGTGCGCGCTTCTGCCCACGGGAATGTAGAAAACGTGCTCTATGCCTGGTTTTTAGAAGTGCGCATGAAGAACATTTCAGTGGATGGCCCGATGCTGATCGCCAAGGCCAAATGGTTTGTCACTGAACTCGGTGAAACAACTTCGCCGACAATAGCGGGTGGCTTCACTCATTTAAGCAGCGCTACAACATCAGTTGGCAAAATCATTTCTGGTGAAAGCGAAGCTGTCAGCAGCCAGGACCTCCAGCAATGGATGACGAAGGAGTGGCCGGAAATCGCGAAGTTTTCTTCCGCAGAGATCTTCAATGCCTGGCGAGACGCGAAGACAGACACAGTGGTCAACTGCTTCCGCAAGGGAGGCTTCGAGACGGCGGGATTTCCGGACGGCCGAAGTGTTTCGACCGATTCGTGTGTTGACGCATTTTGCAAGTTGTGATAAGATCGAGACTAGCGTGTTCATTTCAAAAACAAAGAAGCATGCCAAAGTTAGTGATTTTTTTTCATGCAAATAAATAATTCGGCGTGTGTGCGGAATTATAGTCAGGTACAACTTAAGAAGGCAGGAGAGGCCCCGCCCAGATCGAAGCGCAGCAGCCAATTTGCTCCGCGACAAAAGAAATAGTAGCACTCAGATATTATGACTGCTTCTAAAAGGCGTATTTGTTGGTATAAATATGATTTGTGTGTTGGACGAGTGCTTTGGTAAGACTATAATGATGAAAATGCTACAGCACATGTCGGATCGCGAGAGAAAAATAACTCCGTGCCTTCTACAACGCTGTGCGTCATCTCCTCCTTTGGTATTGCTGCTTATTGAGTTTGACCTGCACAACATCGTCCCTAAGCCTAATGGATGCTTCATCCTCGAAGACGTGTCGTGTCCGTCACGATAATGGTTTCAAACGTAAAGCTATTGTGCGTGTGGAAGAGAATGGCAACAGGAAGGCGGCCCGTTAATTCAGTGTGCCAGAGAACTGTGTTCGTGATTGGCAAAAGCTGAAATAAGAAATTTTTGTTGTAAGCCGTCAAGCAAAGGCCACCACGGGGGGAAAAATTTCTCGGCCTTGACGATAAGCTTGCAGATTTCGTGAGGCAGCTTCGAGTGGACCACATGCCTGCCACAACCGAGGTGCCTGAAGGCCAACTTCGGCGATTTTTCGACCACAGCGGGGTAATGGTGCCTTTAAGTTCCAGAGGCAATTTCGTCACGAGCCCAATAGCTGAAATGCTCAGCATATTCAAAAATAGTTTTTAATAAGCACAAAGGTGCAATACCAAAACCAAAACTTAACTGAGTGCACTCTCTCATATGACGTACTGTTTGGTAAGAACTGGTTGTCGTACACTCAAGCATCGTTATAACAAAGTTGAAGGGGAGCCACAATTATTTTGTTATATCTATTATTTCATTATATCGATTATAACAGTTTGTGGCAATGTATGCTCAGATGGGCACACACCTATAAGCATGCACAGAAGGAAAACGCCTCACGGCTCGATGTACCGCTACGCGACCACGCGTGCCCGGAAGTAAACTCAGTCGAATCTCATTAATTCAAACATGCTTAATTCGAACTTTCGGTTAATTTGAACTAACGCTGAGGTACCAGTCAAAGCTATGTGTATTCCAATGGGTGAAAACACCCTGTAATTCGAACGCGCAAGCACTTGCAATGGTTCATTCGAACATACCGCGCTACTAAAATGCTCTCAGCCCATGCACGATCCCGCGGCAGCACCTCTCAACGCTGCGCGCGAAGAAGGAAAAGAAGAAAAAGAAAGAAAAGACTGTGGTGTATTGTTTGCTCTCTCTCAAATACCGATTTGCGACGTGCCTGTGCCACGCTTCTCCCTTTTCTGTCTCTGCACGTAGAGACCCTTCTCCTTTCAAAGCCGCGCTGAGAGAGAGAGAGAGAAAGAAAAAAGAAGGCTGTCGCGGAGAGTCCTCTTTTCTCTGTGCAGAGGGTAGCAGCCACGGTAGCAGCGGAGAGGCAGTCGTTGCCGATGTGAGAGGGAAATCACTTTGCACCGCAGCGCTGCTTCTCGGTCATGTGACCTGCTGAGCGCTTCCTCTTAGCTGGCTGTGTGAGGAGCACTGCTCTCTCGTCTGCGCGGGGCATGGCTATAAGGTCGGTGCGGGAGTTCTTAAACAGTCGCGCCGAACGAGCGTCAAACTCCACAGAAAACGATATACTTAACACACAACAGCCGTTTTTTTTTATAGACTATTTGATAGACTAATTTAGTTTATTATATCCATTTACCGGTTCACTTTACTTCATAACGAGGTTTAAAATGCATGGTTCTCAATGGAGCTGTCATGGGAAGTTTCACTTACTTCGTTATATCCATTATTTGATTATATCCCATTATGTTATAACGAGATTAGTGTGTATAATTGTCCCGTCGGCACGGAATATGAAAACTGCGATATCCGGGACAAGGAGGCACTGAGAGCAGAGGCGAGCGCACCGAGCCGAGCCGGCCAAACATCACAAAGGAAGGAAGGAAGCTTTTCCGTGCGAAACACCGCCGCTGTCGCCTAGTAAACACACAGTAAACGCTGTAGTGGCCAAAGTTAGCGATGCCATCGGCTTCATCACTTCCATTGACATGCCAAACATGACGTCACACAAACAGTATTGCTAATAATTCTGGTAAGCTAGGTGAGCCTTTCGAGGCAATCTTTAAAATTCATTTACACAATCAGCGTATCTCTCAAGCATGCAATCTGGCATAAATGACGAAAATGTGCAAAGGAATGTGCCGAGATGATTCATTTAGATCCATTGACCTCGAGAAATCGCCGGAAATGGCCTTTAAGATAAAGGCCTACGAAATAGCCAGGAGTCAAGGCCTCTCGAGAAGCGATTTTAAGGTGAGCCAAACTTAGATAACGTGGTTCATGAAGCGGAAGAGGTTTTCCCTGTGCAGGTGAACTGGCGTGTGCCAGAAGCTCCTGAAGGCTTTTGAGCAAAAGCTGAATTGCTTTTCAGAAATACATAACGTTGTTCGCGACGCAACAATGCATACATGCTTGGCACAAATAGGAAACGGGGATAAAACTCCTATGTATTTTGACATGCCTTTTGATACGACCGTCAAGTCAAGAAAGGCACAACAAGTCCGCCTGCTAACAGCGAACAACGAGAAGACCCGTGATACGGAAATGCTGGCGTGCACAGCAGATGGTGCCTGGTTGCCTCTTTTCCTTGTATTTACAGTTAAACCTGCTTATAACGAACCTTTGTGAACATTTGTGGGACGAAGTACGTATGGGCAGCAGCGCTTATCTCCCATACGTACTTTGCCCAGCAAATGGGGGAGGGGTTAGATGTTTGTGTGCGCGCACACTTATCCTTCGGTGGGGAAAATCACTTGCCTTCGAATTTGACCGGAACGATTGCGTTTAGTTGCCGGGCGCACAAAGATCTCTTCACTCACTCGGCAGGCACCGTTTGCAAAAAGAGTGCGCTTCTAAAACACAG